TTTTTACTCGGATTTTACTTGATTTTAATCGTGTAAGAGCCTTACTTTTATATCTTTATAACATTTTTTGTTATATTTAGAAATGTAATAAGGACTCTATTAATATTCAAAGAAAGTAGAAAAATTAATAAATAAATTACAGATAAGAACCAAACGCTGATGCTGTAATTAAAAAATTACAATAATCATTTCATATCAGCAAATATTTATTATAAAATATTGAGCAATCAATTGTAATTAAAACTTTTTCTTAGCTTCTAAACATCCTCAGTAAAAGTACAATGAAAACACAACAAAAGCGGTTACATAATATTATATATGAAAGAAATATATATATAAGGCCATCATACAGAGAATAAAAATTTCTAATCAATAAACCAACTAGCACGTTTTTGGATTGATGTAATTCTTGCATTATTGTGCACTGTTTGTATCATATTTTCTTTATTATAAATTAAAGTAATTGCGCAATAATTTCTCTTTTTTCGGCGGCTTGCATAAATGCATAAGTATGATTATTGTATTCATTGTCCGGTGGTTTGAAAATGTCAAATGGCTCATCTTCATTGTCAATACAAATGTTATGTAAAACACAACACGCAAGTATAAGTAATGGTATCATTTCTGTGTTATACATATATACATATTTTAGTTTTCGAAATCGCTCTTTTAACATTCCAAACGCTCTTTCAATTGTGACACGAGTTTTTGCTAATTTAGTATTATAATTGTGTTGTATATGATTTAAGTGACCATTATCACGATATGGGGTAAGCATATTATATGAGAGCGAATATGCAGAATCAGCTAATAAATGACTATGTTCTGGAAAATATCTTTCTACATCATGATCTATCATATGTTTTATATCACTTAACCGCCAAACTCGGGAATCATAAACACTACCACAAATTCCCGTAAAAATATCGATGAATTTCATTCTATGATCACAAATTCCTTGCAATACTATAGAATGAAAGCTTTTTCTATTTATATAACTATTTGAATGTTCAATAGGGGCACTAATGCGAATATGGCATCCGTCAATGACACCCACTACACCTGGGAAACCGTTCATAGCAGCAAATTCCTGTTGTATATTTAATAATTCATGAACCTCTGGCCATTTTATATAATTTTCAATGTGTTGCTCTAATACATATGCCACATTAAAAACACATCTCCATATAGTATCTTTTGATACTCCAAATCGCTCTGCAACGGATCTAAAAAAACAATTTTAATGTAACATAATAATAATTTCAAAATGATATTCATTGAAAGTTATTGTAATCATCAATTACTTTTATATCCTAATCTAATCTATATTATATCCTAATTATCTTATATATCCTAATAATCTATATTATATCCTATCTTTTATATCCTAATCTAACCTAATCTATATCCTAACTATATACAGGGTGGTCCTCGTAACGGTCGCCACGATTTTTAAGGCACTTACAATAATCTTAAAAGGTTATGAGATTGTTCCCATTGTAATTGTATTTTATTTTTCTGGCTATTGTTATTTCGGCTTTTACAGCCTTTAGCCCAACAATTCGGCATATTATGTATGTTGAAGTTGATTGGCTAGACTACGCAACTTTTAAATTTCCCGGGCATATACGGCACGCCAAGTATAAGTTGGCAGCGCTTGTTCTCGTACATGTGTATACGTTGGCTACAGTGTCTTCTTCTCTTGCTTGCCGTGGCGTGTGGCGTGCCGGCTATTGTATCTTTCATAATAACGTTACAATAAAACCTTTATTCTATTGTGCAATCCAATCGAGATACAAATGATTTCCACCGTACCTTAACAATGTACACTATATATTAATACTCACTATCTATATTAATAATCGTTATATAAATAATATTCGTGTGATAGCGGATGGCGGCAGCGGATAATTTGACGGAATGTGATCGTTGCGATCATGTCTCGGTTAACGTCGAGTAATACCGCGCGACGTGAAAGTAGATGCAAAATCTCTGGCCTCTAAGATGGCCGCAACGATGGACCCCTCACCCTTTCAGACTCAGCCCCCGCGTCTAAAAGGGTACCTTACGCTCTGTCCAGGTATTTCTTACGTCCATGTAACCGTCGGTTAATCTAACCGGACTTTGTGAAATTGGCCCTTAAGGGTCGACAGGAGTGACGGTAGAGCCTCTCGCGGACAGCCGTGAATTACGAATTCGCTTCTCCCGTATTACGGCCAAAAAATAAAGAGAATCATGTTAAACCTGTGATATGTGTAATCAGTAGGATCATCCGCAGTCCTGTACAAAGCTATTTTTTTTTTTAAAAGAGTTAAAATAATATTTTATAAGTTGACAAGAAAGGTACATACTAGGTACAGCTCATGGCGGATTAGGTGCAGTTGGCCATGAGCTGTATTTCATTTATTATAAATTTTCAAGAGCCAAAATGCAAAATTCGGCTATGTACAGGATTGCATAATTATATAAAGAAATTATTAAAAAAAGTTTCATGAAGTAATATGACTTCTTCGATGTAAAATACGGAATAAGCGGATCTCACTAGATGTGTATGTAAAGGAGCAGCTCATGGGGAAATTTTTGTGGTCACATACTGACTGCTTGACAAAGAGAGATGATTACGCCGTCTTTGTCACTCTTTCATCATGTATGTGTGTAGTATCCGTGAAGGCACAAACACCGATACGTTGAGTACACGGATGCGATCGTTAGTCTAAGAAGTGCCCGTATCTCTTACACGTTGTATATTAGTTCACTCTATTAGCTATTATTCTACTAATATTATTTATCATTGTGCAATTTTGAAACATATGTAACATTTCTATATACTATTGGTATATATCTGTACATATGCGCATAAGTAAACATAAAATTTATAAAAAGTGGGCGCCCATTAGTCTTGTTGCATTACTGCTTTCTGCTACGAGAGGCCAAAGCATTTTCAGGCCATATCTCGGCCGTAAAGCGATACGCTAGAGGAACAAGGCTATCCTTGTTCCTTGTGATCGTTGATCCTTTTCTATCTTTCCTCTCCACGGTGCGTCCACGCGAGCAATGCAATCGAGTATGGATGTATACAGACATACACCTATACATCGAGACTGAGAATTCATTCCTCAGCGTTGGTAACCCTGAAATCTGAGTTTCACATTTTCACCGCGCGAGGTCTCCAATGTCAATTCGGAGTTTGCCCGTCACTCCTGTCGACCCTTAACGCCTATCCTGTGGTATGAGTGGTTTGTAAGTCAATGTAAAAATTAAAATAGATTACATTTTTTATATCAAAATAAAGATGGAAACGATATTGGAACAACAACGACGATATCATGAAGAGAGGGAACGATTGATGGATGCAATGGTGAAAGAGATGTTACACAGAAAAGCGGGTCATCGCGAAAATATCAATTCGGAACATCGTCTAAAAATGTTATTGGATCAATATATGGATAGCACAATGCATTTACAGGATTTATATGAGGATAAAGATGGACAGAGGAAAGAGGAAGTATGTTAATAAAAAATTATATATATTATATATATAAAATTATATATATATTTATATTATATATA